TTTGGGGTTTAGGGTTTAGGTTTTTAGGGATTAGGGGTTTAGGGTTTAGGGTTTAGGGTTTGGGGGGTTTAGGGGTTCAGGGGTTAGGGGTTTAGGGTTTAGGGTTTAGGGTTCCCTAAAAGGGTTCTTTCAAGGGTTCCTTTCAGGGGTTCCTCGGTTTCTGTAAGGGTTACGTAGGGTTTGGCGGTTCAGGGTTTGGCGGTTGGGGCTTAGGGGCGTTTACTCTGGAGTTGAGGATTTTACGGGTTCAGGGTTTAGGGGGCTTAGGAGGTTTAGCCTGGAGTTCAGGATGCTACGGGTTTGTTGTTCCAGTGATTCTTAGTGTTTTTACTATCGAACATGGCGTCCGTGAAGTACGAAATACGTAATGTCGTGATGGCCAGTACAAATGCACAGGCGGGGGGGTAATGCCTAAATTCTAAGCCCTAAACCCAAATACCCTAAACCCTAAACCCCAAACCCCAGAACTATAGTCTTAATCGGAAAATGTATACTGTTCTCAACGATGGCGTCGTGCAGGTAATCTGGCGGCCGCCGACCAGACAAGGTGCCCAACATCAAGAGGGTTTACGGTTTAGGGTATGGCGTTTAGGGTTTAGTGCCTTTGGGGTCTAGGGTTTAGGATTTCAAAGTTTCGTGCTTCGCGTGGAGGTTTGTTCCAAGCCCGTGGGCACCACCTGCTGGACAGCTTGTGCCCACGCCGCATGCTGTGCCACGCGGTCCCCCGGCAGCACGTGTAGTGCGTGATTGGAAAAGAGTGACAGAGTTGCAGGTTTGGAAGCCTCGATGCTGAATGCCAGCAGTGACCGTTTAAAACTAGATGATTGTCGACATCTAAATTCGTTTGAGACATTGATTACTGCCGTAGTCTGGCATGCTTGTCCTTGAGGTTTTGCTTGGGCTCCGCTTTGGAACCCTCCTTCAGGACAGCAGCTGAAACCTTGGGCGACACGAGCTCACCTTTTCAATGTGCGAGTGACACGTGCCCAGGTCTCCGGGAGCATCACGGGCCTACGTCTCACCCACGTGGTGTCCTCAGTGGATTGTGAGGGCCTTTGGCACGTTGCCTGGCTCTTGTTTGCTTGTGGAACTGCTGCCAAGGTGCCACTGGCGCAATGTGGAGGCATGGAAACACTTTTGTGTTGTTGCTCCCAGGGTTGCTACTTATACTCAGTTTACTTTCTCTTGAATTTGGTTGTCGGCGCCAGGAACAAAGAACGGCTCCTGCCGATGCAATGATGATGCGATGCCAGTCACCACCTGCCATGCGGCTAGCGTCGCAGAGGGCTGTGTCTCCCACTGCACCACCGACTGTGGTTCGGCAGCAGATTTACCCACCACTGCTGTCCAGTGCTGATGCAGCCAAGTTTAAAGGATGCACCCGCCACACCCTTCACACCCTTCCATCTTCCAAGTCGATGCAACGACTACACACACAGCCCAGCCAATCAACATCTTGGGCGTTTACCAGCCCATCTACCACCACTGCCACGGCCACTGCCACGGCCCTTTCCGTGGGCTCGGCTCCGGGAAAATCCGACTTGTCGGATGAGGAGCTCCGACTCCTGGCCTCGGAGGTGCTCCGCGACTTCGTTGCAAAGTCCTTGCTGAGGAAGCTGAGCAGGGAAGAGCTGGATGCTCTGCTCAAGGCGCACTTGGGTGACCAGCATGCACAGCGGATCATGGCACAGAGGGCGCACCTCCGTGCCAGCACGGAAAAAGTGATTTCCAGCTCCACGAGCCTTGGCCAACTGCGCTCCAGTGAAGCGCGGCTCGAGGACGCACAGCAGAAGTTGGCTTTGGCAAAGGCCGAGGCCCTCGACTCTGCACTGCTCGGTCGGATCCGGGAGAGAGCGGAGGTCGAGGAGGAGAGAGGCGGCGAGCTTGAAGCGACGGAGGCCGAGGCCGAGGCCGAGGCCGAGGCCGAGACGGCGGAAGAAGGCCCGAGCATGGGCCTCCCGTGGGAGCCGAGGAGTCTTCCGAAGGATTCCCGCCGGCCCACGGCTCCGATCTCCAAGAAGTCGCAGGATGCCTCTGCTCTCGAAGGTGTCAGTCTGGAAGAGCATTCTGTCGTGTGCCATGAAAGGTCGAGATCGAGATTCGTCGCCGTGAACGAGGATTTGAGTTACATATTTGGCGAGGTCTCAAGTCCCCCCAATGCAGCATCGCCACCTCCACCAGAAGCACATCGCGCCAGACATGTATCTCCACCGAGACCTGCGCGCATAAAGTCTGCGCATCTTGGCTGCACCCCCCCTCTCCCGGATCATATGGTTCACAGAGCTACTATTCTTCAGCTCATTGATCGTATCATTGCAGCCTTCAGCGAGCCAAGGCAATCATTGCATGACGGCTCCAGCACGTATGCTGCCAACTTGAAGAATCGAGTTGCTCGGCCAGGATGAAAAGCCGGACATGACGGGTGCTTTCGGGTTTAGGGCTTCCAGGGTTTATGGTTGAGGGTGTAGGGCCACCATGACTGTGCCTAACGTTGCAGTGACACGTACTTCCGCATCTTCTGAAGAGTCGAGTGCTCTTTCAACAAAGACCCATCTGTAACCAGGTTGCACGGTCATCCATTGCACAGTGATTTAGTAGGTTGTAGTGCCATGCAGCATTGTGCAGAATCACACGTTGACTTGCACTCGTTGCACCGGCAGCAATGTGTCACTTCTGTGTACTCGTGCCATGAGCCGACGATGGAGCGGCTAGGGGCCATGGCCTGACGAGGCTACTCTTTTTTTGGACGCGTGATGTCTCGAATCCGCCCCTGGCGGGCAGGACTTGTCAAGATCCATGGCTACCTTCTTGAGGCAAGGGCTGCGGACATACCAAGACTTGACCTAAACCCTAGACCCTTCGCAGCATCCCAAGCTCTAAGTTGTTGGAGCTGTTTGTGGCTTTGCTTCTCGTGTGACAGGTCTCCGTGCTTCAGGGTCCTGCCGTTGAGAGGCCTCGCGCAGACGAAGAAGAAGGCTGTTGCACAGGGTGGTTAGCAGCTTGGAGCGGTGCGACTAGCAAAAGAAGCAGCTCGAGCAAACAGGCTTGACGCAACTAAGTGGGCAGGCGAAGGCAAAGCAGATCAAGAAACAGAATGCTCCGTCAGGTGCCTAGCTGTTTGCGCTTGTTTTCGAAGCAGTCAGTCTGTCTGGCGCTGGCTGCGACTTTCCATCGGCCCAGCTGTATCCAGTGTAGGCAAGAGCTCCACGAAACCAGAAATCGGTTTTGCATTGCAGAGACCTGCGTGTCGGGCAGCAGAAATGCGGGTTCAGGAAGTCAAAAACAAAGCAAGGACAGCCAGAGACTGCTCGGAAGCCCTACTTTGCAAGCCATTAGTCACTAGACCTTAACCCGGAACCATAACTCATAAGACCTAGGCCCTAAACTCTGAACACCTAACGTTAACCCCCCCCTAGACCCTAAACCCTAAACCCTAAATCCTAAACCCTACACCCTACACCCTGAACCCGAAGACGGAGCATCCGAGCATGGAGCCGCGATGCGGTGTCCCAGAGTTGCCTTCACGGGCCTCCGCCTGCGGACCTGGGAGGTCCGGTCTTCTGAGAGCTTGAAATCAGGATCCCAAGCCCGAGGGTTTAGGGTTTTGGGTTTAGGGTTTAGGGTGTAGGGTTTATAGAAGTTGTATAGGGTTTAGGATCCCAAACCCGAGGGTTTAGGGTTTAGGGTTAGGGTTTAGGGTTTATAGAAATTGTATAGGGTTTAGGTAACAGAAATAGAATCGTAATGCAGTAGAGTAATGGGAGGAAGAATCCTGATGATAGTTGTAGGGTAGGCAGATTAAGAATAGTAAGCCTGAATCTTAAACTCCAAAAAAATGATTCTTCACCCCCAAACTTGCCCCTGAGCCCCAGACGTAATTCCAACCCTAGGGTCCAGACCCCCGCAAAGAACCTAAAGCCTTAAACCGTAAACCCCAAATCCCAATCTCTAAAATCCTGTCAAACTCTTCAAAGACACAAAAAACCCTAAACCCTAAACCCTAAACCCCTAAAGCCCTATAAGGCAGAAGCAAGGCAGAAGTCCCACAGAAGCCCTGCACATCTGCTCCGTCTTGCGAGAGCCCCTGATGGAGGTCGGCAGGGCGTCATCGTCAGCTCCTGGCTTGGCATGGGTGCTTGGCCTACTCATCTAGGGTTTAGGGTTTAGGGTTTAGGGAGTTTACGGAGTTTAGGGATTTAGGGGGTTTAGAGTTTAGGGGTTTTTGTCGATCATAAAGCTGAAGATGCTGCAGCTTCACGGAAGCATCCCCGACCCTACCCGGAAGGAAGCCACTGCCCACTTTTGAGCACCTTGCCCCTGCATGTGCCGAGAGTTCGACATTAATTATCGTACAAGGAAATTAGAATTGATGGCGTTCGAGCAGCAACAACAGCAAGGTGCCGCCGCGCTCTGATCACCGCGTATCTCAACGAGCTGAGGCCGAGGAAGGCTGTCGTAGGGTCGGTCGAGGTTCCTGCCACCCTAAACCATAAACCCTAAACCCCCAAACCCCCAAACCCTGAAAGCACCTGCGACTGTTTGTAGTTGGAGGGCTCTCTCTCTCTCCTCCTCTCCTCTCCTCTCCTCTCAGTCTCTCGCTCTTTTCCTTCCCCTATTCCTCCCCCTAAACCCTAAACCCTAAACCCTAAACCCTAAACCCTAAACCCTAAACCCTAAACCCTAAACCCCAGGGCTCCCGGACTGGCCAGGCCCTCCTCCGCGCCGCCAGGCGGCAGGCCGAGCTCATGGCCGCAGGCAGCTGACGGAGCAGGTGGGTGGTTGTCAAAATTATGGTCCCCTTTTGGGTTTAGGGTTTAGGGTTTAGGGTCTAGGGTTTAGGGTTGTCAACATTATGGTCCCTTTTTGGGTTTAGGGTTTAGGGTTTAGGGTTTAGGGTTTAGGGTTGTCACCATTATGGTCCCTTTTTGGGTCCTTATTATAATACGGCACCTATTATTTAGGGTACCCCAAGGAGCCGGGGCTTTAGAAGCATGCCATAGAGAGCTTCCGAAAACAAGGGGTACCTTATTTTGGGATCCTTGTAACAAGGATCCTACTATTTAGGGTACTATATCCTACTATTTAGGGTACTATATTAGGGCCCCCTATTTTCGGAAACTCCCAGGTGGAGAACCTGGCCACCGGGCTGTTGCCAGCAAAGGCCAGGGCCAAGAGCGCAAGCTGACGCGCCGCTTCTTTCGGATGCGTCTTCTTTTCGCAGGAGCAAGAGGCGCTCCGTGATGAGATGGTGCAGGAACTTCGACGTCGTGTACAGGCCTTTCCAATAGAGTCCTTTTGTCAATGCTGTACTGCAACTTGATTTCAAAGTCGCTGTCTGCAGGTTGAGATTCCTGGTTCCGACCTTGTGACATTCGGTTCAGCTGCTACAGGCTTCGTGCATCTACGTGCCATCCTGATGAGTGTCAGAGTGTCATGCATACTACAGTCCAGCAACAGGTCTTTGGCTGCCTGGTCGGGATGTCGACCTCAGCTTGAAGGCCAATGCAGCAACCTCTGCGCGTGCTTGTTGTTGCCAGGGATTTGGCAAACTATCAGTCTTGCTGATGTAATGATGTTTCGATCTTCACCATGACCGATTCATGCTAGAATCACTACTGTTATTGTTAGGACTACGGTCAGTGCTTTAGCCATTATTACGATTACGGTTGATCTGGTTATCAGTGCGCAATTACTGGCAAGTTTGTCGATCTGCTTCAGGTGCCTGGACTTCATACTGGCCGCACGGAGACAAAGCAAGCTCTTCACCGTGTGGCATCCATTATCTATGCGTTCCCTGGTGCAAGTCTGGTAGTAACACGGTGTCCGCACCTCCATGATCACCCGGAACCCTACACCCAAAATCCAGAACCCCAAAACCACATCCTGAACCACACACCTTGAAAGGCATAAGAACCCTCTTGGCTGATCAGGTTTTCGGGAGACAAGCCCGAGAACCGACTTGCGGCCAAAGTGCCGCTGCTTCGTTGGATGCCAAGCCGGGCGGCTTCCCAGGAGGTTCCGACCTCTCTGCGCATCGGCGTCGGGTCGAGAGTTAAGCACCCCAAGCTCAAAAAAAACCTGCCCCTAGATCCACCCCGCAAAGCTTAGGCCCCTGTTCTTCTTTTCGTTCCAGGCGCTGCCTTGCTTCGACATTACTGTGAACAACCTGCTGGCGGTGGAGAACTCAAGGTGCCCATGTCGGAAACCACGGGAAACGGAAAGCCCCGAATCCCTAAACCCGAGAGCCACAGTGGACAAAACTGAAAGTAGCCTTGGGCGTTGACTGGAACCACGGCGCTGGGATGAATGTATGGTTAGCTCTGGCATCACTCGTAGTCAAGGGGCAACTGGAGCAGTCGAGAGCCCAAAGGCGAAAGAGAGATTACAAGGTAATGGCTCTTGTTCGTTTGGGGAGAAGACCCTAAACCCTAAACCCTAAACACTAAACCCTTTTTCATGTCTGACGATATTTGGAGAGTCTGATTCCGAAACTCCGAACTCTAGAGCCTAAGCCTAAGACCCTGCACCCTGAAACCCTGAACCCTAGGGCTCTGTGGTAATCTTTCCGGGAACTTACCATCCTGCGGCTGGCGAGTGGACTCGGAGCCCTGCCACTAAATCCCTAAAGCCTAAAGCCTCATAGAACCCGTTATGGAAGTCTGACAGAAATCAAACAGAACCCGCCTTACAAAGCCCCTTCTAAAGAAACATAGAGCCCGTTATGGAAGTCTGATAGAAACCAAATAGAACCCACCTTATCGAGCACTAAACCCTAAACCCTAAACCCTAAACCCTAAACCCTAAACCGTAACCCCTAAACCCTAAACCCTAAGCCCCTTTTTGTTTGGCAGCCTCAGCTCTCTTGCCAGGCTGGTGAGTGCATACCTGCTTGCGGAGCCACTGCTGCGACAGTTGCCCCCTGGCCCTTGGGTTTAGGGTTGAAGGCTTCGGGTAAAGTGTAGAGGGTTCTTGGCTTAGGGTAGAAAAGCATCCTCTTCGAGCCTTGAGTCTAGAGTTTTGGGGGGTTTGGGGGGTTAGAGCTTGTTTGGCCCCCTCCGGGAAATAAAGGAGACCAGGTTTTCTAACAGATCAGCGGGATCCCGAGACCCTAAACCCCCAAAGTAAACCCTGAACCCTAAACCCTAAATTCGAAATCCTCGCATCGCCCAAGGCTTGTTGTCATCAAGACCTGGGCTTCTGAGCGCGGGATCAACGATAGAAGCCAAGGCACTTTTTTTTAGGGGTTTAGGGTTTAGGGTTTAGGGTTGACGGGGGGTTTAAGCTTTGGGGTTTCGGGTTTATGGGGGCCATCAGGCTTCTGGGTTCGGGGTAGGTGTGCTGCAAGCGTCCCTAAACCCTAAACCCGTAAACCCTGAACCCTAAACCTCGTAGGAACCCTGTCTTCGTTTGCCCTCACCCTCATGGCGGTGCACCTTCTGCAGAGGAGGGCGCGCTGTGAACTCAAGCTTGAAGGTTCACGGGTAGTTGGTTTAGGGTTTAGGGTTTAGGGGTATGGTTTAGGGTTTAGGGTTTAGGGTTGAGGGCTTAGGAGCTCATGGGTAGTTTTAAGTCGTTGTAGAGTTGACCAGCAAGTAGCATCAAAGTATGGTTCCTCGGCTACGGGCGTACCAATGAACCGGCAATAACATGATGAGGAGGATTCATCATGAAGTTTGCTTGGATCCCTTGTCAGCCTGCAGGAGGAGGGTGCTGCCATCACTGCAAGATCTGGCTATTCTGAGCGGCGACCCGCGCCACACTGTCATGGATACCGACTGCAGGTTCTCTTCGAACGCAGAGCTCATTGAGAAAGAAAAGTCCAAGCTGGCATCTCTCAGAACATCGTCAAACGAAAGCCTGGGAACTTGGTTGGTGGATTTTTTCCGGTACTACGGGGTCGAGCAGCTTGTTTGCACCATGGGGAGGTCTTGGTCTGCTCTAAACCCTAAACCCTCAGCCCTAAACCTTCAACCCTAAACCCTAAACATTGCAGGAGTCATTGGTGCCTGGAGGTACAAAGGTGGTGTGATTGCCATTCGGAGCGGTGCGTCCGCTGCCGTATGGCGATCTGCCAGCTACTCTGGGCAGTTCTACTTCGTGGATAACCCCTTCGAGCCAGGCGGGGATCAAGCGCTGGAGCTGCACTTTTTTTTACGGATTCCGGCTGTTTGTAGCACAGGCAAAGACGTGGCAAACGCAAGGGCCCTAGGCCCTAGCAGCTCCCGAGCATCTCTCAGCTCTAAAGCGGGACAGACGCCGAGGTGGAGCTGGGACAGCTGGTGCGTTTGAGAGAGGCTCCCGGGCTCCCGGCACACGCCGCAGTTGCTTCTGCTTCTGCTTCGCGACGTGGATGCGAGCGAGGGGTCTCTCCGTCGCGTGCCCACTTTTTTTGGGCAGGAGTTCCGAGCAGCACATGCCCAGCTGCGCCGAGGAACGTCAGCACAGGAGCAGTCTCTCGGATTCTTGAAGCTATTGCAGACCGCTTTGTAAGCCCTGCTAAACTCTTGTTAGCCTAGACCCTTCGTGCTTAAGTCCTCCTTCCAGGAGCTGTGCTTCGGACGCCAGCCCGACGACGACTGAGCGCTGTAATATGGATGCTACAGTACTGTCGACATGGAGGCACTATCCAGTTCGATAGGTAGGCAGACAGTAGCTAGGTAGGTACCTGCGTAGGCGTAGGTCGGTGAGGGAAAATCTGCTGCCCTCAGTACTGCAAGTAGTTCGACAGCGCTTGCAAGACACGTGCCGCAGCTGCGGGTTTGCCTGTGAGGAAAACAGCAAGTTACTGCATTGATATGACCTCGTGCTGCTGAGCGTTGCTTGAATGGGTCGCAGTGCTCGACACGAGCTCGCACAAACTACCCACTAAGGGCGGAGGTGCAGCTTGCTCATAGCATACCGCTGCCCACTCAGAAATGGTTGCCTAACCCTAAACCCAAAGCCCTGAACCCTAAGCCCTGAACCCCTTCACAAGGTATGAGCTGACGAAGGAGACGCGCGAGTTCTTCCAGAACCAGAATCGGTTCAAGGCTGGAAGTTTTGATGGGGAGTGAGGAGCAGCAGCAGGAGCGTGGAGATGGTTGTTGTGTTCGTGGTAATGGTGGTAATGCTAGCAGCAGCAGCAGCAGCAACAGCAGCAGCAGCAGCAGGAGGAGGAGGAGTAGTAGTAGTAGTACCAGCAGCAGCAGCAGCAGCAGCAGCAGCAGCAGCAGCAGCAGCAGCAGCAGGAGTAGTAGTAGTAGTAGTAGTAGTAGTAGTAGCAGTAGTAGTAGTAGGAGAAGGAGAAGGAGGAGGTGGAGGAGGTGGAGGAGCAGGAGTAGGAGTAGGAGTAACTGTTGCATGATATTGATGAATTAATACTGTACTAGTAATAATGCTGATCGTGCCGTCATGACAGCAGCAAATTCGTTTCTGGTGACAACAGTCTGGAAGACCTAGCGCCCAAAAGCCAGAAAGTCCGTAAAAGCCAAGTGCTGAGGCTTGGCCACTCCAAAACCCAAAATCCTAAACCTTAAGCCCTAAACCCCCAAGCCCCAAACCCACCCCCAAAGAAAACCCTAAACCCTAAGACCCTATAGCCCTAAAGCCCTAAACCCTAAAGCTCTAATACCCCAAAAGCCTCCTTAAACCCTACCCTAAAATCCTCAACCCTAAACCCTAAACCCTAAAATCCTCATACCCCAAAAGCCTCAACGCCCCGCCCCAAAGGCTCTCCTTGAGCTGGTCTTCTCTCCGCGCGAGCCGCAGGCGACTGTTCAAGGTTCTTCACGATGTGGGGGTTTCTGAAAATAGGGGACCCTAATATAGCACCCTAAATAATAGGATCCTGAATATAAGGATCCCCAAATAAGGTACCCCTAATTTTCGTAAACTCCCATGTTGTCTTCAGGGTTTAGGGTTTCGGGGTTTAGGGTTCAGGGTTTAAGCTTTAGGCTTTCGGGTTCAGGGTTTAGGGTTTAGGGTTTAGGATATAGGGTTGAGGGTTCAGGGTTTAGGTATCTTGGTTATCATCATCATTTGCACCTTTGTCAGTATTTGTGTGAGTATTTAGACTTGTGCTCGGTTGTAATGATACTAGTAGTAGTGTTAGTATTAGCAGTAGAGTTGGACTTAGTGGTGCTTGTATAATTAGGATTAAGATTATGATGATGCGCTGTGTTCATCCCACTGTGCTTAGGGTTAGGGGTTAGGGTGACACATAGTTTGAGAACCAGTTCTGGGGTTGAACGTGTCGGTCTTCGGGTTCAGGGAGGTTGAGGGCCTCGCACTCAGTCCCTAAACCCTAAACCCGCAACCCTAAACCTTAAACCATCAACCCTCAACCCTAAACCGTAAACCCTTTTGGAAGTAACATGCAGGTCTGAGTAATTCTAGTCGGAGAGTCCCTCTCTCTCACTTTGCCCTAAGGTCTGTCTTCAATGTTGAGGCCCCTGTGTCCGATTTCTGAAAGGAAAACTTGATTTTCCGAACAAGATCCCTCTGCACACTTCGAAAGGCAACCTACTTGTGAATCCCAAGCCCTTCTCCCTTAAGCTCTAAATTATGAACGAAACAACCTGAGCTTGTAAAGCCCTTGAAGCCCCGTTCCCACAAGCTCTCTAACCCTAAACCCTAAACCCCGAAAGCCCTGACGCTGTGCGCCGAGGAGAGTACGGAGGACCAAGCCGGATTCCCAGTGGGGCTCTCTTTCAAAACCTGGGCTTCAGGACAGACTGAAGCGAAGGGTTTTTAGGGTTAGGTTCTAGGATGGACTAAAGCTTAGGGTTTCGGGTTTAAAGCTTAGGGTTTCGGCTTTGACGCGCCGCCTGGTGAGGTTGACTTCGAAGACGCACGAGCAGAGTTCAACACGCTGTGCGAGAGGGCGCTGCACCTGTACAAGGCCTCGTCTCTTCATGGTCTCCAAACCGTAGGCCCTAGAATTTCGAAAATCCTAAACCCTTACTCCTAGCCTCCTTATAGAGCCCTTGCAGAGCACCTTCTGGGACACCTGGTAAGTCCCAAATCGGCAGACGCGGGCGAATTGGACCCTTATGAGGACCCTAGCAACCCATTTTTCACACCATAAGACCTTCTACAACCCTAGACCCTAAACCCTAAACTCTGGTAGAGGGAAACAGTGGAGCTTCGCCTGAGGCCGAGGAGGTTGATTAGCCGATGTAGTTATTTTGAGTGCACACTCAATGAGTGAGCCTTCGACATCTTGCGAGAGAAAGGGGGCTATTGCATTAAAAAAAAAACCCTAAACCCTATTCAACCCTTCTGGAAACCCTGAGCCCTAAACCCTAAACCCTCAACCCTAAAAACCCGCAGCCCTAAACCCTAAACCCTAAACCCTAAAAACCCGCAGCCCTAAACCCTCAATCCGAAACCCTCAACGAGCTCTTGAGGCCCACGAGGCTCGTGCCGAGCAGAGGATGTCGGGGCCTCGTTTTTTTTTTTTTAAGGCGGCTTTTGCGTTTAGGGTTTAGGGTTTAGGGGTTTAGGGGTTTAGGGTTTAGGGTTTAGGGGTTTAGGGTTTAGGGGTTTAGTGTTTAGGGTTTGGGGCTAGGGTTTAGAGTTCAGGGGTTTGGGGATAAGGGCCCCGATGTTTTGGGTTTAGGCTTTCGGCTTCGGGTTTAGGCTTTGGGGGCAATCAGGTTTTGAGTCTAAGGGCTTTAGGAGGGACCCTTGTAGGTTATTGGGGTTGATATGGAGACTACCTGGCTATATAAGGAGTCTGTAAGGAGTCTATAACGATTATTTCAAAGTCCTTAGCACTCCCTTAGGTTCCCCAAAGCTCCCTAGGACCCTCCCCCCTTGAGCCACCCTCCCGGACCTTAAGAATCCTATAATAATCAGGTGTGAGGGTTTTTGGGACTCTGAGGTGGCGCGCCTTGCAGCAACTTCCGGAGGACCTCTACAGCGAGGTGGGAAGCTGGAGAGTGAGCATGTAGGGTTTAGGGTTTAGG